TCGCTGATTGGCTGCCGTCGCCCCTCCCCCTCGCGTGCCAGCCGCCAGGGCCCGGGCATGGCGCCCATGGTGCCGCCGGCCGGCCGCAGCCCATGAGCAGCCATTTTTGCGTAACCGGCCGTCGCGGCCGAAAGGGGTTCGTGTGCGCGCCGCCCCAGAGTGCCGCGAGTGCCCGAGTGCCGCGCCGAGCGCGAGTGCGGCGAGTGCGCGCGCGACGCGAGTATCCCCGGTGACCTGGCTGCGGCGGGGCGTTTTTGCTGCGGAGCGGCCACGGCGAGCCCGTCCCCAGGCGCCGCCTGCGAGGCCTGTGCCATGAGGTGAGCGCGCCGTCGCAACGGCCGGTCAGGTCGCGCGCTGTTGCCATGCTGCTGTGTGACCTTGAACTTGACCTGCGCCCTGAACGCCGGAGAGACGCCACAACCGCCGTCCAACCGCCCTGGCGTTGGCGTAACCTTGGGCCGGGCCACCTTTGTCCGGGCGGCGAGCGCTAAAACCGCCACGCGCGCGCGCGGACTCGCGGCTAGCGGCCCGGATGCGGGCAGCTGCGGGTGGAAAGGGCCCGCTACAGGGGGAGACTGCGGCAGGAGAGGCGACAGACGCCGGCTGAGGCCTGGCCCTGCAGCGGGGTGCGAAACGGGGGATGTATGTGGGTTCGATCCAATCGCTACCCAGCCAGGCATGGGCAGATCCAATTCAAGGCCTCCTAGCTTGTCCAAGGCCAATTCCATCCAGCCGGCGTACGAAAAAGTTGTGGAAACCGTTATCCGTCTTCCACCTAAATCGTACTCACGTGTGGAGCAGCTCGGCCTATCCGGTCTTGATTCGATGGGACGATGGGACGAACGGACGGTGGGATGACGGGACGATGGGACGACGGGGTCTCAAAATTCGCTGGATCATTGCAGGAACTTGACGCTCGAGCGCGCAGCAGGCGGGGTTGGGCATAATTGAGGGGCACCTGCTGGGGAGAGTTTTGGCGAGGGACCCTGTATTTCAGCTGCTGGCTTGCGCTCGTCGGAGGACGCCTCGGGATGGGCCTCCGCCAGAGACATATTTTCAGGTCAATCAAGGAGTGTCTAAACCCGGCATGTTCATGCCTGTTTACTGGCCACATGTACTGAATGTTGTGAATGAAGCGACCACCAGTTCTGTTGACACCATGGCATGAATGACGTAAGCGGGCGAGAGCAGCGGCATTTACAATGCTTTTGACCCCGAGTAACTGGGTCTCAATTTCCCTTGATTACTGTGGGGGACAGGAAAGTACTATAACTGCGCATGTGTGCATGCGATGGAACTTATCGTTTATTGATAAGTCAAAATATCCAAATGCTGCTGTGCTCATGAGTTATCGAGCAGCGAGCATGTTTGTGAGCGCTCCCATTCATTCTGGACTTCGGCGCCCGAAAGCTGTTTGACCCTCGCGAATTTGCTCGGAAAGGTCTTTAGTCCGCATGTGAGGTGAATATAATGCTGCAGTAATGTTAAACGCAGGCGAGGCGTCCTTAGTGTTCCGCTCTTTTTGCTCGCCCGTCGTCCAGCGACAGGTATCGATTCCCGCTGCCACCACTTAGCGTTAGACCAAGCCAGACTCACCATGGACACTTAATAGCGTTCAATTTCCTTTCGCTGACAGCTCTTGATTGTTTCTTCGCACGCATTCTCCCCGTTGGCTGCCCTGTTCTCGTTGTCGATCCGTGTTTGCTGCCGTGTCGTCTGTATATTACATTCTTCACATACGCCCGGTGTATGGACACCGATTCGTCTCAGCCCCAGCGCCATGTGACTGAACCAAAGCTGTGACTGGACTGGACGACGTTCGCCAAGTGACTGGACTAAAGCTTTGACTGGACTGGACCACGTTCGCCGTGTGACTGGACCAAAGCTGTGACTGGACTGGACCACGTTCGCCATGTGACTGGACCAAAGCTAGACCACGTTCGCGATAGCCCGAGCCGAGGCTATCTTTGAGCCGTCTTTTGCTTTGAATGAAGGTTCCGCTGAGGAGGTCGAAGCATTGAAGCCAATGTCACCAACTCGCGGGCTCACTGAGAAACTAAAGCTTTTCTCTTATTGGCTCGTGTTTCCTTGCGCTCGTGTGCGGCGACTGTCACGTGTGAAGTGTGGATTTTCAAGGATCAGTGGATCACCGCGTGGGGTGTTCAGCACTTCGCAGTGTGTGGCAGCTTCCCTTTACTTAAATGCGTTCATATGATCTAGAGGTGGCATGCGAGTTCACGTGCTTTTCGCTGCTCGTTTTTGCATGGGTGTGCTCGGTTTGTTTGCACTGCTGTTAACACCTGTCACACATTGGCGTAGCTTTTTTCGACCCAACATCGTGGCAAAAACTGGGCGGTCGCGGCACCGCGTAATCTAAACACTATGACGCGCTCAAACGCAGATATGGCGACGCAACACATGCGCGCGTGCACACACACGCACACACACACACGCACGCACGCACGCACGCACGCACGCACGCACGCACGCACGCACGCACGCACACACGCATGCACGCACGCACGCGCACACACACACACACACGCGCGCACGCACGCACGCACGCACGCACGCACGCATGTGCTTTTTGCGTTTTAGGGAGTGCCTTGCTATAACTTGTTTTATCGAACAGCTGGCAGACAAAAGTGAGCTGGCGTCGCCTGTACCGTCTTGGTTCTGGCTGAGCGCGGACGCGCGCGTACTTAAGCCGTGCCTGCTACGCCTGCTTACCGACTGGGGTGGCGACACGGCCCGGCTGACAAAAATCGGGGTCTTTGGGCCTTGTGCCCCCCCCCCCCTCAAAAGTCGCGTTTCGCTTCCCCCTAGAAATCGGGACCTAGGGCCTCGCCCCCTCAGAAATGGAGGCTTCGGGTCTCACTCTCCCCCAGAATTGGAGGCCTCGGGTCTCACTCTCCCTCAGAAATGGAGGCTTCGGGTCTCACTCTCCCCCAGAATTGGAGGCCTCGGGCCTCACTCTCGTCCAGAGATGGGGGCCTCGGGCCTCACTCTCGCCCAGAGATCGGGGCCTCTACGGCACAGGGATACGGCAGCCGTACGTGACCGAGGGGGGCGAGTTGGAAGCGCCCCACCCAGCCGCGCATGCAGGACTCCGCGGGGGCAGGGGATGTGGCCGCATCCAATTTTTACACGCATTTATTTGCGCGTGGATTAGTTTCCGACGCTTTAAAAATCGACGTAGACACTAAAAACAATGCGTATGCAGAAGACATGCGGCGAGCAAACGTATTTTTTTGCTCATGATAATTGTGGATTATGTTCACCCCATTGCAAAATCGTACGTAAACCACTGTCTCCACCGGATATTTCCGTGTACACCACCACAACAGCGTGTGGGTTTTGATAGGTCCACGGAATAGCTGCCACGCAGGATGACAAATTGCTTTGTGTGAGTCCTTCAAAACGAACGCTTCCAGCTGCTGCTGAGTCATGAGTCTCGTGATTCACGTGAACGACCTACGTGCAGAGTGAGGGGGGCAGAGTGTTAGTTTCTCATTTTGTTGGGGGGGGGGGGGGCGGGTGCAGCCTCTCAGCTTCACTTTGACCTTGGTGGAAAATCTTCCCGAACCTTTTTTAGTGAATAGTACTATACTTCTACATAGAGAGTAGCATCGTACACCGCGGAGCAGGTGCGCCGTGTACCAAATTCGAAAACGGTGCACCTAAACAGCGTTGCATGGTCGAAGGACCACGAACCCCCCCGCCCCCCCTTCCCGTCTGTGCCTTGTCAACCGTCCGAAGACCCCTTGTCTTGTCAGAATGTTGCTTTATTGCCTCTCCAGACCGTCATCTCACCATCGCCGACAGCTCGAAAGACAACACATCGGCGCCGTCGGATTGGTGGCGCCAGATGGTGGCCAATTGTCACTCAGTTGCATTACGGTCGAGAGGTCCTCGTCACGTTCGTTTTACTGGGCCGACCGCTGCCTGCTGTCTGGTGCTGTCGACGTGTGTAACACAGGGAGGCTCCCAGATGGTAACGACGGAGGCGTGCTTGGATAACAACAAACGCATGATGTGCGCCAAGATCAGCATTAAATCGACCTGGAATGGCCGGGCATACTAGGTCACGCACGAGCGCACCCCCAGTGCCTGATACGTGACACGCGTGCCCTTTGTGTTGCATGAGACATCATTTTCAACAAAGTTCGATGTTGCGTCATGAAAATGGCGAGGGCCGGCCTGAACGTGGATGATTAGCAGATGGTTTGGTTGACCTGGCTTGACCTCCGATAATCGTAGCGTTTGAAGGCTTGGCTGTGAAGGAGTCTTCACAGAGCAGCAATATGAAGAATGCGATTATGTTCGGTGAACTTCAACCTAGCGTTTCCGCCTCCCTGGCGTTTCAAAAATGTTCTGTAACGGACAGAAAGGAACGATCAGAGGCTTTGGCCATGATTTGCGTGCAATAATTGACCATAGTTGACTTCAAGTGTACAGTACTGTCACTCGAAGTGTCAGGATTTAGAGCAATTCTTAGCAGTTTACGTCGCCAATCGGTGACGCGACGGTGACGCAACGAAGCGACAAAAAAAAACGAATATCTTCAATGGTAGCTATCAAGGAAAGGTGCCCTTTGACAGAAGGCGTGACGAGACGCTGGAGCTGCCTCACATCCCACCTGTGAGAAGTGCTCAAAGAACCAAAGAGATCAAAATGATTATGATTTAGGAAACAAAAAATTGTATAGAGGAAGTAATACTCGGTACCCGAAAATCCGCATTTCTGTACTCCCTGGAACCAAGCCAAATAAACGCAGCGCGTGCTTCCTTAACCCTTATTAGTCTCAGGTACCTACGGTACATGTGTGTGCATGCATTTTCTGGCAAGTTGCCAACCAGGTTGAATCATGCGACGAACCTTGCATGAATGTTCCAAAAGATGACTAGCCGGATATGCCATACACTACTCAGTGCATTGTCTTGGTGGCAGACCGCATGAGCTCGTTTTACCTGTTTAATGTTTCAGTGGCTTGTTTGTTCAAAATTTAAAACTGTCTGCGGTGTCAGGGACAGGTACTTTCCGCACAAAACATGCAAGTCGTGGAATAGCGGGACCATTTGGAAAATGGATTGACAATTCAATGAAGGAAACCAACCGGATTAGCGTTCATAATTGCCGCGACTGCGTGACTCGCACCCGGAGCTCATCTTGGCGGCGAATGGGACTGGCCCAGCATTTTTAGTCTGCGTGCATAAATCATGGACGAGCTTTCCTGGATGTCATGATACTACTGTGTACTTAGTCCGCGACTTTAAAATTTGGCTTATCGCCCACCGTGCCATGAACGGTCAAGACA